TTTTTGCTTGTTTCTTGTCTCACTGCCCCAGTCCCCTATCCCAGAATATAATCTCCAGTGATCTTGATTTCTTTGCTCATTTCTGAACCCCTAGTACCTAAATACAATGCTAGAAGTCCCTGAGTGGTATAAACAGTTAATGAGCTCAGCTGCTAACCAAAATGTTGGAAGTGGAGTTCACACACAGGCACCTCAGAAGAAACGTATGGTGATCTATTTCCTAAAAGTCAGCCATTGAAACCCCCATGGAGCACAGTTCTACTCTAACACACATGGGGTCTCCATGAGTTAGCACCAACCCCACAGCATTTAGTTTTAACACGTACTTGGCACATAGTGTTGCTGCTGTGTGCCGTCAAATCAATTCTGATTCATAATAACCCTGTATAGAGTTTCCAAGACTGTAAATCTTTATGGAAGTAGAAAGTCTTGTCTCTCTCTCATGGAGCAGCTGGTGGACTCGAACTGCTGACCTTGCAGTTAGCAGTCCAATGTGTAACTACTATGCTGCCAGGGCTCCTGTGGTACATAGTTGTTGCTGCTGTTGTTAAGTGCTGCTGAGTTGGTTCTGACTTGTAGTGACCCTGCTGTATAGTGTTTCCGAGGAGCAGCCGGTGAGCTTGAACCACCATAGTACAGAGTAGACAATCAATCAATGAAAATTGAGTAATCTAAAGAATGAACTTAACTCTAATCCCCCTATAATTTTAAGTTAAGCATTGTATTTAAGAAAACAATATTAGGACCTTTTGCTTGTAAACTAGGAGGATAATGTCTTTGTGGGCTAAACACTTGGTACGGGAGTTCTTTTTCATAGACTTCAGGACTGAAATATCAGATTGTATCTTGTGATATAAACAGGTGCACGGTGTGATCTTTGACTGCTTTTTTCATCTCACCTTTCCACAAATAACCAGCATACCATTGAGCCCTGTATTTGTTCTGAGATCTGCTCCCTTAGTTCTCAGTGGCAGTTACAAATCAGCTCCATGAATTACCAGATGGTTTAGCTCCTGAGCTCTTGAGTCCTTTTGATAAAAATGTTCCAGTATGATTCCTCTATCAAAATCCAGTTTCCTCCAGAGTTCCAAAGGGTTTATATGAGAGGGCTGGAATTTTTCCATGAAATTTTGAAAGCCCCCTCCCTTGTATATATCTAGGTTGTGATCAACTTTCTCTACTCATTTTCTTAGAGTAGAGTTGGGCAGCATCTCCAGTGGTAAGGAACACAAACTTCAGAGTCAGAGACTTAGCTCAAGTCCCAGCTCTGAACCTTCCTAGTTATGTGGCACTAAGTAAATGACTTAAAGACTCAGTTTTCTCATTTGTAAAATGGAAAGAAAATAATTTTTCAAAGACCTGTGAAGATTGAATCAAAATATTTGCAATGTATGGAAAGTAATGTCTGGCATATGACTCAGTGAACAACTTATGTTATTATAAAGTATGCTCAAGGGTTAAAAACAAAAACTAAACAAACAAAAAACACATTGTCACCAAATTGATTCTGACTCATAGAGACCCTTTAGAAGGATTCATTTTGTTCTGTGCACCTTTTGGTAATACACCGGGCTCTGAGAAGTTGCTTGCTGACAGGAACCAAAAGTCTTGACCCATATTGGTTTTCTTATTCCTTCAAATTACTAATTTGAGTTTTGTCAAAACATGTCTCCACAGACATTTGTAACAGAAGAACCTGGGGACCAACAAGAAGCACCACAGATAAAAAATAAGGCAGACTTGCAAGATGGAAAGGCAAGTGGTCAGCATGAACTTAGAATTTCAAGGTTGCTGATGCTGCACAGCTGAAAACAGACTGTCGACTATCAGGGCTTGTTTGGGTAGAGAAATAGGAAGGATCTGGGTATACTGGATTAACTATATGTACTTTTTTCCTGGAACCATCTATTCCCTTAGATCTCTTATTTCATACAAGGCTCCCAAATCCCACATATTATTTAGGAAAATCAGGAATGACCTGGAGACATCCTATGGAGAGAAAGTAGAGGAGATAAGCATGGTAGTGTGATCTTTAGTGGCTTTTTTAGCCAATAGATCTGATTTTTTAAAACCATAACAGTCTATGCTATGGTGTTCTCTTGAACCAGTGCAAATTTGTCTAGAAGATCCTGTTCCCTTGAGATATTCTTTTTGAGTCTGAGAGTTTCTGACTCTGTGAGTTTCTGGGAAGTCATGTTAGCACAGGTGTAGTGGGAGAAACTGCACTAATGCTGCAATAGCTATGTGATAATAGTATACATGCAAATTTATTTTTGTAAATTTATATACAGGCATTATGCTTGTTTTTGATCTTCTCATAACTAATTTATTTGTAGAAAATGATCCTATTCATTTAAACTCTTGAAAAGAGGACCATATAAATGAGGACAATAAGAAGACGGTATTGTTGTTGTTAAGTGCTATTGAGTCGGTTCTGACCCATAGCAACCCTGTATAGGGTTTCCAAGGAGCAGCTGGTGAGCTTGAACCACCTACCTTGCAGTTCAAATGGCTTTGCAGTCTGGCACATTAACCCACAGCACCACACTAGGACTCCAAGAAGGCTGTATAGTTGAAATTAAATTTTAGTGAATAATTATCCATAAGGCATAAAATCTATAACACCATAAGGTTACCTAGGGATTTTGCTAAAATACTGAGAAAACTGATTTTTTATTTCAATTTACTTTGTCACCTAGAGACTCTTTCTTCCACCAGGAAAAGCAAGAGAGGAAAATGGAATGGGTCAGATATCAGGAACAAGCGAACATCCTTCAGGTACTAAGGTCTTCCAAGGCTGAACATGGGATGCAATTCCATTCATACACTATAAAATCAAATGACTAGTTTATATCATGGGACCCTTAACTTTAAAAATATTTATGGTTATCGGGGGTAAACTGAGTGGTTTCATAGTTCCTAAAAGCAAGGCTAGCTTTAACAGTGGCAGTAGACTTTCTGACTTTCAGCTTCTTGTTAAGCCCAAACCCCTCATCTGGATTAACAACTGTCCTGCTGTAAGAAATGCATCATGGGGAGACGGTCGGAAAGACCTATCTATGGATTTACCTTGTGTAACTTGGAATAAACAGCATTTCTTCCTATGATCATGATTTTGTTCTATTTGAAATGGGGGAAATCAGATACTTTCTGCAGTCAGCTTTTAAAGATTGAACATGATGGAATCATTTTTGTAACCTCTGAGTAGAAAAGATTTAGGTAACACTGGATTTAGAGAAGACAATACCATGAGAATTTTTGAAAAATGTTTCTTTGCAGAATGATTTTCATGGCAAAGTGATAGAGCTGAGAATTGAAGCCTTGAAGAACTACCAGAAGGCCAATGACCTGAAATTATCATTGTACTTACAGCAGAATGTTGAGCCAAAGCAAGCATTCTTAAATCTTCCTAAGTCCCAAGGTAGGTAGAGTAGTATAGATGCACAATTTAAGACTTTGTCTCATTTTGTTTTACATTGGGGATCTCTTTACTTGTAAAGTGGTCAGCACAATGCCTGGCATGTGGTAAGTTGAGTGTTAGTATAAGCATAGTAAATTTCATCATTCTCGTTATCACTATTATTATTTAGAAGGTCTTATACCTAAGGAGCTCTGGTAGCATAGTGGTTACAAATCGGGCTGCTAATCTCACAGTCAGCAGTTCAAAACTACCAGCTGTTCCACAGGAGAAAGATGAGGCTTTCTGCTCCTGTAAAGATTGACAGCCTTGGAAACCCTGTTCAGGATCACTGTGAGTTGGAACCAACTCCATGGCACATAACAACATACCAAAGGAAGGATTCCCTCAGGGGAAATTAAAATTCCCTTTGTAAAGACTAGATAATCTATAATAAACTTAGTGCATGTAGCTGATACATAGTTGTCACTCAAGCTTCCCCCCATCCTCCTCCTCTTTCCTAGTGTTTGAGTTCATCAATCTTGCTGGAATAGGCTTTGCTACTGCAGAGCAGATAGATGGTCAAGGAGATAGACAACTGACCATGGTTCGAGGTTCACCAATTCAAATGTGCTTCTGGGAATTTTGGTGACTTCTCACAAAGAATTTGTGGCATCATTGATGTTGTTGTTGTTGTTGTTAGGTGCCATTGAGTC